AATTTTCAACGTAGTTTATTGCATAATATTTACTCTTCATCCAGGAGTTTGAAGTTAAACAGCCATCTCCAGTACATCATGTGGCGCAGTGATGTTAGGTCTGAAGAATTAAATAATCCACTGCGGTATTTTTCTTTGATCCCGCAGGGATGCCCAACGAAAGCCTGCAAACCAATTAAAAATGTGCACGAGTACATTTGGAGACCCACAGATACAACTGAATGATAATAGAAATAGGAGCTAAAGCAAGTAAAATGCATTATCTCGGATGGAAATCCAGGTAGCCCAGAGACTGCGTGCGCGCTTCGAAAAAGAGAGTGGCATTTTTTACGTTGTGAAGTAACTTCTGCTTTTGTTGTGTAAATCGCATCAGAAGCTTTTTGGTTTACTTTAACTGGTTTAATTAGTTAAAGTAGTGTCTATTTTTGTGCACTTTTGTGACTTTTTGTGTTTTTATATCTCTGTATTTAGGCATATATATACATATTTGTGTGTAACTTAAGCAGCTTATACTAGCATGAATCCCACAAATAGTTGTGGACGACCGGACTGCCACTTTCCGGTGGAGGATGGGATGCAGTGTGATAACTGCAACCTATGGTTCCATAAAGTTTGCACTGGCTTATCACCATCAGCCAATAGGAGAAGCAGCAAGCCGTCATCCCCATGGATGTGCAAATTTTGTGCAAACCCGTTGGATGTACCCATCGAAGAGGCCGTAGGACTTCTCATGTCGAAGAAGTTACCAAAAACCTCTGATGAGGGGAAAAATGCAACATCTAGTACAGATGTTATAAACGAGGATTCTGACCTTAGTCATAAAACTAAGGCAGAACCACATCTCCTAGCTTCGAAAGAAGCAACAGAGGTGAAGTGTGCCCAGCAGTCAACAATAGCACGTAAAAAGCCCCGAAAACCTAGGAGGGCAAACAGTGCCAACATTGTAAGACAGCAGGGTGATACCACAACGATGAAGCGTTGCGTGTCTGGTGAACGCACAGCTTCCAACTGCGGCGAGAGTAAAGTGGAACCATCTGATTCCACCTGGCTAGTGCCGAAGAGTAGGAAGCTCAAGAATCACAGGAAAGAGAAAAGTACTGTGGTTAGTGATAAGGTCTCAACGGCCGTAAACACTGACAAGATTAAACCTTCGGATTCAAATTACAGTATAGTAATTTGGAATTTGGAGGAATCGAAGAAGGTAGATCCAGCTGCTCGGCATGCTGACGATCTCGAAATAGTTAGCTCCATCATCCGTGAAATACTTCCGGAAAAAACGAATGGTGTTCACATAAGGAAAGTCATCAGAATCGGTAAACGAATCGCCGATGCAACGGAAAGTTCCCCACGACTGCTGAAGGTGGTACTGGGGAACGAGATGGAGAAAACTATTATTCTCAACAACGCATTCAAGATGAAGAATAAAAAATGAGAATTAGGCCAGACTGGCCTTTGGAAGATAGAATTAGGAGAAGAGAAGCTGTGGCTGAACTAAACGCCCGATTAGAAAAAGGTGAAAAAGACATCAAACTATTGGGTTTTCGGGTAGTGAGGTCTCGGAAACCTATGTTACCCAGACCTCTGTTCATAAGTCGAGTGAAAACATAGGTCTCTCAGTATGCTACACGAACGCTTGTAGTCTTAGGAATAAGCTTCCTGAACTAGGAGTGTTGACTGAGGAACTACAGCCGGATGTGATTGCTATCACCGAAACATGGTTGTTAATGGGTATAGACTTAACTCCACTCATACCTGGGTACATCAGCATTAGAGCAGACAGAGTAAGTAGCCGGAAAGGTGGGGGGGGTCGCTCTATACATTCGAGATGACGTAGGAATTAGGTCGACGTTGTCGGAAGCTCATGACAGTGGCACCTGTGAAGCCGCAGGTTGTGTCATTAACTTGAACAAAGGCACTGTAACGATAGGGGTTATTTATAGAAGTCCTACCAGCCAAGCTGACAATTTCGTTATAAATCACCTCAGGACGTGGAGTAGAAAGAATAGGTGTCTAATAGTGGGTGATTTTAATGCCCCGCATATTAATTGGGAGGAATTAACATCAACTACTTCGTACAATTGTTTCAATAGGGAACTAATACTGGCAGTACTTGAATGCGCACTTGTGCAGCATATGGATGCACCAACAAGATACCATCCTGAACATGATCCATCCACTCTAGACTTGGTGCTAACACACCAGAAGGAGGATGTTGGTAACATTAGGTGCCTGGTGCCGCTAGGCAGTAGTGACCACATAGTTATTACTTTTATGTTCAGGATCCAGGCCGTCAACAGCCGCTCGCCCAAACGTTTGGAAAGCGGATATGCCTGCAATCCGAAATGCAGCAACGCTAGCTAACTGGTCTGTTAACACACACCAGACTGTCGATGAGGCTTGGATGGGATTTAGGAATACACTAGAGTGCGTCACTGCTCCCTTTGTACCTTGGTCTACGCCTCGGAAATTATCTCATAAACCACCTTGGATTAGTAATGAAATAAGGAGGTTACTAAGAAAACGAAAGAACTTATGGGACCGGTTTGCTGTGACTGGAAGGGATGAGTTTCGGGTAGAATACCGCAAAGTTCGAAACCTTTGCAAGTTTGAGATTGACAAAAGTCGTATAGAGTATGAGAGACAGTTAGTACTGGATTGTGTGCATTATCCAAAAAGACTGTTCTCGTATATCAAACGTAGGACTAAAACTAGTAGTGGCATACCATCCCTCATTAGCAACACAGGAGAGGCTGCAGAATCGGACGAAACAAAAGCTGAGTTGCTCTCCGAATATTTCTGTGATGTTTTTTCGTCTAATCGTACCACCCAGGGGTGTAGCGAGGTAACTGGTGTAGCCCCTAAAATGCCCCCAATTGTGGTAGATGATGTAATGGTTCTGAAACTACTGTCTAAGTTGAAGCCAGGTAAATCACCTGGACCAGACGGACTTCACTCTAGATTGCTAAGCTCCCTGGCGGATATAATATACATTCCACTTACGGAGATTTTTCAGATGTCTCTGACCCAGGCTAGGTTACCCAGAGACTGGAAAGATGCTTTTATAAGCCTCATCTTTAAAGATGGGAATAGACAGTTAGTATCTAACTACCGGCCTGTAAGTCTGACCTGCATTATAGCAAAGGTGTTAGAAAAACTCATAAGGGACCAGCTCTTAGCGCATACGGAAAAACATGGCTTACTGGCAGTGGAACAGCATGGATTCCGACCAGGACGATCCTGCTTGACAAACTTACTGTTAGCTAGGGAAGATTGGGCCGAGACCAGGGATAAAAACCATCTACTGGACGTTGTATTTATCGATCTTAGTAAAGCATTCGATAAGGTATCCCACTTAGGTCTTCTTAGTAAACTTAAACATTTTGGATTAGACCAACGCTTATGCGACTGGTTTAGTGACTACCTGATGGATAGGAGACAGAAGGTAAGGGTTAATGGTGTACTGTCAGGGTGGAAAGCAGTACTAAGTGGAGTACCTCAGGGAACGGTACTGGGCCCCCTGCTATTCTTATTATACGTAAATGAAGTGCCAAAAATTCTTACCTCATCTTCCTTACTATTTGCGGACGATATTAAGATATGGAAAACCGTAAATAGTAGCGATGATAGGTTGGTACTACAAAACGATCTAGACAAATTAACCGAATAGGCTAACCTTTGGAGTCTGGAAATTAATTCCAAGAAGAGCGCAGTAATGCACCTAGGTCAGAAGTCTTACATGTCGTACTCCATAGGGGACACAGAACTGCCAGATGTTAGGTAACAAAAGGACTTGGGAATTATTGTTAGCCATGACTTAAAAACAACGGCGAACTGTAATCGAGCCGCAGCTAAGGCTTTTCGAATGCTATGGGCACTTCGAAGATCTTTCAAACGATTAGACGAGGGTATGTTCCAAGTACTCTATGCAACATATGTCAGGCCTCATCTAGAGTACTGCATACAAGCGGCGAGTCCATGCTTCAAAAAGGAGGCACATACCCTGGAAAGAGTACAGAGAGTAGGAACAAAATTAGTTAATGGCATCTCACACCTTCCTTATAATAAGAGGATGGAGCATTTAAATCTCTTCCCATTATCATATCGAAGGAGGAGAGGCGACTTAATTTTGGCTTACCGTATATTCAAGGGTGATTTAGGGATTGACCTTTCAAACCTTTTCTCTCCCTCTAGAAGAAATTTACGGGGTCACCAGAAGAAGGTGCTCAAACCAAGGTCGAATAAAATAGGTTTGGAGTTTAGATTCTCTCACAGAGTGGTCAACGACTGGAACTCCTTACCTGATTCAGTTGTAGCAGCTCCATCGGTGAACGCTTTCAAAGAGAAACTGGATCTCTGCAGAGATATATATCGCGAGGATTAACATAGGCAACAAGAGCCTTCTATCCTTATAATCTGAATCTGATTCAAGCAGTTAGTACCCTAATTTGATCATTATTATTTTTACATACCCAAAGTTCTAGCAAACTTAAAAATATTAGATGCTCCAGTACACAAAATCTCAGACATTCAGTTTGTAAGTGTTCCCACTGTACCGACTACTCTATCTTTCTTTCTTTCTTTATTATTTCACTTATCTCAACCTATATTATCTACACTACAACCTATTATTATAATTATCATTATTATTATTACTCTACTTTTATGACTATACCGAATGACCGACGGGTGTTAGGTCAAACTCCATTCACGGCAGCAGCTGAGTCCTAACATACTGCACACTACAAACCACAATCTTGACCAATCCTCGCATCACTCCTCCTGGAGTCTACCAGAGCTAAAGCAGTCGAGTGGCGGGATTTACTACGCATAAGTTCACCGAAGATCTGGAACCTCTACCTTAAAATCAAGAAGCGAGCTCAAAGAAATCACTGGTTTATACTAGCTCGTAATCAGGATATTGGATATTGGATATTGGATCTGCTTAATATTCAAGGACACACCCATCCGCACATTTAGGAATGATAAATGTGGTTAGGACAATGTCGAGACCAAGAGATCTTTCTTCTAAGCTAGAGTCTCTCAATGAGCTCGATTTCGAAGTAAGCCTCACATTTTTGATACCGGTGATTTTTTCAGAGTTTGAAAGAGAAAGCTGTTTCGTTGTTGAGACAAAACCAGCAACTTGAAAATACCCTATTGAAGCTTCGCGAACAGAATATAGAAAAGCGTAAAACTATCCAGCCGTTTGAATTTGAGAGGTTTAATCTTTTAAAAAAAGTATTTTAGTAGGTATAAAAAGCGTCATATAGCCCTAAAGTTCTCCTATTTGGGGTGGGATTACGGTGGTCTAGTTCCTCAATATGGTCTTGCACTGACTGTTATGGACCGCATGTTTGACGCATTAGAGCAGTGCAGGCTAGTGCAGGATAGGTTTGTTCGTTCACCGACTTTATTTTCCCAGAAATGAATGTGAATTTTCAGTTTGTGGACGGACTGACAAGGGAGTTAGTGGATTATGTCAGGTGATTTGATAATATTCTAAATAATCGGTAAATTTGAAGGTTGTTACCTTAATATCACGGTCTCTCCTAGCTTCTGGAACAGGCATAATCGATGACTCTGGTCCCTGTATATCTGAACGTCACGGTTTGTTTATCCTGGTGTTTTGACTTTTTGTAGGTATTCCCGAAGTAGAAATGGACTACGTATCTATGCTAAACCAAAACTTGCCACGAGACATACGGGTTTTGGCTTGGTCTCCTGTCTCTTCAGACTTCAGCGCAAGGTATGGGCTGGTTTCTTTTGTCAAATTTGTAGGTTTGATTGTTTGAAGAGAACATATGAATATTATTTTCCTGAGGGTGGACTGGATATCAAGGTACGCATTAGGAGCTTAAATGATACTTTCATATAGTCAATGGTTGATGCAGGTAGTCGACTGGTCGGAGTGCACGATTTTCGAAATTTTTGTGCTTCCCGAATCGAAAAAGAAACAGTTACTTTTGTCCGTGAAATCTTTGAAGTGTCGATAAATCTGGTGGATGGTTCTGAAAAGTATTCAGATGAGTAAGTGTAAAATATTAAGCTCTTCTTTTGGTAGGATATCTACATTAGCATATTTGTTTATCAGTCATTTGGCAATGTTTTATTTTTCCCACTAAGGCAGCTTATGAAGATCCTCACACCTTGAACCATTAGTTCAGTTATGCTTCACACCTCATACCATATGCTTGTTTTCAACTTTTATCATTATTGCAGGTTTCGGGTTCTTATGATCTTTTACTTTTGACTGCAGACAATTAGACAGTCCCTTGAATTCTTTCGCGTATGAATTAGGATATCAGGAGATTGTTTTCCCGTATCAATTGTGAAACTTCCGTGTTATGTGATTTTCGACTCTACTGCCACTAAAAAATATTTTAGTCCTGGTCTTTCAGATGACTCAAGGATTAATCTGGACAAGATTTATGTTTTATTGATATATAAGCGGTTTTTGAGAATATTCAGCGCTGAAATCATTGCTCATAATCATATCAAGGTACTCGAAACGGCATCAGTAAATATTAATGTATAACACTATGCGACTTGATCAAAATAAATTTTACCCATAATGGAATTTGACGTGTTATGTTGAGAATTGAACTGGGAGTCCGCTAGGTCCAGTATTGGTTGATATACTCATATTCCATCTAGAAAAAATACCTTGAAATCTACAGTCACCGCGACTGCGTTTTTTCCGGGTATGTAGGTGACATATTTGTTGTAGATGGTGATACGTTTCAAGCCTAAATGCTGCTGCAGAATTTCAATAATATCCACTCAGTGGAGCGCAAGAGACAACGTCAAATACATGCTGACATATACATGATAAGAAGAGATAATAGAAAGGCGTATACACTGCGAAGCAACTTGGAGTAACCAATACTTAAACTTCAACTGCTGTCATTTAAGTTTACTTACTAAACCAGTAACTCTAGTGTTAACACTTAAGTGTTATCAATAATATTTATCGGATGCTGCTGGATTCAACATAAAACTTGGCACCGAGGTGCAGCCGTTCGAGTTGCCACGTTACAAATAGCACACAAAGGTAGACAGGAAAATGAGTGAAGAGAATCAATAGAATTTAGATCAGTATAAGAGTGAAACAGAATGAGTAATGGTAGAAAGGAATATGAAGGTTAAAGAGACTGAATACATCTGCGCCATTGACAACGATTTTGAGCCATGTCACCTATTGTCTCCAGCCATTGATTCTTAGAGTCCCGAGGGCCCCAACCCGGAAGTCTGCATCTCCCTACCTGACTCAGTTTAACTGTCAGGGATTTCATGGATTGATGCCATGTTTTTGTTTGACCACCACTTACTCTTTTCCAACCTGCACCTATATCAGCTAGTAATGCCCGTCGGGGGAGACGATGGTTAGGCACGTGACCTAACCATCTCAATCTATGTAACTTTATAGCCTCTTCGAGTGATTTTCCCTCTCTGCCCAACACTACGCCTAACGTCAACATTACTTACCTTATTATACCACCTAATGTGAGAAAGAGGTCGTAAACATCTGTGGTCAAAAACAGACAATCTCTTCATGTCTTCCGCTCTCAATGGCCACGTCTCACCGCCATAGAGAAGGACGGAGCGAACTGCTGAGCAGTATACACGTCCCTTGGTTGACAGCCGGATGTCACGCCTACGCCAGAGACGGTGTAAGTTAGCGAAAGCGGCCCGAGCTTTCTGGATCCGTACTGTGATTTCGTCACCAATCAATCTGTTGGCGCTGATACAACTTCCCAAATAGGTGAAGTGGTCAACATGTTCTACCACTTCACTCCCTATCACTAAGCTAGGAGTTGACGTAGTCCAGTCCTGTAGCAGCATCTTGCATTTCATAGGGGCGAATCGCATGCCAAACATACGAAGATTGCTGCTCAAGGTGTTCAGAAGATCTGCATTTTGTCAGCGTCCTCTCCTAACAGGACTACGTCTATAAGACTATTCCCTGGTAACAAGTCGATTCCAATTTATTCCAATTTATCGGATAACAAAATGTGTTATATATATATATATTATATATATATATGTATATATATATATATCGCGTATTCCGCCTCATTTATTTCTGCCTGGACAAGTGGGTAGTGTCATCAGCCATCATACACTAATTGTCGTTCACGGCCTGGTACGTGAAAAACCTGTCATGAGTAACCGAGTTCTAACTGCAGCATATGTTTAGGTTGCGCTTGAGCTGTGGCTCATTAGCCACAATCAAGATTTCGTTGCCTGCTCTATTCACTAAAAGCGAGTTAACTTTGAGCACTCAAAACACAGTTGTACATATGTTTTTGTCCGAATTTCCCTATTTATTTATAGATAAGGCTCTGAGAATATTTTTCTTATTGTTAGTGTGGCAAGAGATGGGAATAAAATACATTGGTTACTGTAAATACTCGTTAATATGTTAGTCCTGATTTTACATCATTTTTCACACTTGAGTACAAGAGCATATTTTTCTTCAAAGTGATATCTTAAATGATGAATACATATAGGATTTTTCGTTTATATATTTTCACAGCCATTCAAGACTTTATCGTGTTTCCATATCGGCATCAGGTTTTCTCTATCATCAAATACGATATATTGCTTCCGTCTTGTTCATGGTTGGAAGAGGATATGAAAGTCCATCAGTGAGTTATATTCCGTCTATTTGATTTCCATTTTATTAGAATTTATAATCTGAGCTATTTAAGCGTTAGTTTGGACTTTACAATGTCTACTTTTGGTTGAATTAATTAACATAAGTAGAGATTATTCAGTACTTTTCCAGTGTAAAAACTCTGTCTAACTATAACAGCACAAACAGATAAGCTGCTCATTAGTTAGTTAGTTTTATTCCTTCACGTTCCCAGTGGAACATAGGGCTTCAGACTAGAGCTTTGAAGTTTCGGTAGCAGTGATGTTTACTTTTACGGGATGGAGTTGCTATCCTCTTGCCCAACATTCCCTCTTGACCAGTCTTATCACTGGCTTAGCGCGAGGTAAAGGAGTGCACTGGCCGGGGATCGAACCCCGAACCACAAGCGTGGTTGGCGAGCATTCTACCGCTGTGCCACCGACGCATTAACTAGCGATTTAAAAAGGGCTTATTTGTGCATATATTGTTATTCACTGTTTTGATTTATAGAAAGTAAAGTTAACTGTTTCAAAACAAATTTGTCCAATTATGATATACTACGCAATGCAGCAAGTGAATGTATTACTATCAATGTTAATTAATCTTGTTCACGTTGATTTACTTTATTGAAAATATTGAATGACCAGATATATTAAAGCTATTCTCTTTCATTATGATATTAAAGGTTGTTGATGACTTATTGGATTTAAATAAGACTCCTGCTAAACCACAATATCAACTGTCTGCTGGTAAGTTTTTGTTAGTTGTACACTTTCATATAATATTTTCTTTAGATTTCCCATTGTTATTCATTACCGGTGAATATCCAGAATCTGCTCTAAATTGGGAGACCAGTGAAGGTATATTAGCAAAATGATTATTTTCACATTCATTGTTAAAACTTGTAGCTGCACAATTGCACCTGGTTAAACATTATCAAAAGCTGTGGTCTGAATATGGAGTTCGGTAAATTCTTTTTTTACCAAATAAACAATTTTTATTTGAATATATTTTCAGATCAGCTGTCATTAAAAGAATATTAGACTTCGTTGAAAGTATGTGTCTTAACTTTTATATTCTATGTAATAAGCGTATATTCCCGTTTATAACTCTATAACCTCACTGTCTAAGTGTCTGGAAATCTAACGAGTGTAAAAACAAATATACCATACTGCCTCTCTGTAATACATGTTACTTTAGTGTCTCAATGATAGGCTTTCAAATTCACTGATAACATTATCATCAACAATGTCACAGTTTTTATTTCCCTGGAATTTTGATAACTTAGTGATTAATACATCTGTCGTCAAAATCATCATAATGGTTGTTTCAAACTCCAATTAGTAATAGTTTCATCGAATTTTTTACTAAAATGTTATGTCATAATTCTGAATAGTGAATGCAAGTGATCTGTAAAAGCTGTGAATGCTTTTAAGTAATATGTTGAAAACCGAGTACTTTAGCCAAGAAGTCACATCATTTATTTTTCAGGGGAGGTTTTCTGGGAGTAATCTACAGTAGTTGGAACTGAGAAGACACTGATACCTTATACAGTCGTAATAAAGTTTATTTTTTTATTCCTTCGCGTTCCAAGTGGAACGTAGGGCTTCTAACTTGAGCTTTGAGGTTTCAGTAGCAGTGATGTTATTCTTTTTTGTTGTTGACCGTGTGGGATTGCTAGCCTTACGTCCAATCTTCCTTCTTTACCGGGCCTACTACCGACTTAGCGAGGTATAGGAGTGTGTCGGCCGGGGATCGAATCTCGGGTCACGTGAGGGTGGTTTGCGAGTATTCTACTACTGAAAGCCACCATCGCACAGAAGTGAAGTTGGCAAATTCATATTGACCATATCAGTTAGTTTATAGAATTAGCGTGTTATTTGATACTTCGCCTATCAATTCACAGATATTTTTTAGCTACATTAGTTTTATTTGCCAGTGTATCAAATTACACAACTTCATTAGTTTCTACGATATGTGTTCAGTGTTTCACACAGTTACAAGAGGTTTTTACTCTTAGCTGTTATTATAGAGAAATAATCTCTCAGATAGATTCTTTATTCGTTATTTCAGTAATTCAGATATACAGTTATTCAGAGTGATCCTAGTATATTGTCCAGCACTAAAAGCATTTATATAAGATTTAAAGGGAAAGATTACTACGAAAAATTCTATTGTTATCTCTGACTATGCATTAAACTTATTTCTATTTTTACAAGATTATTTCCAAAAAATACCACTTATGGCATTATATAATCTTAGGGAATAAAAAGACAGTTGCAGCGAAGAAAATTTTCTTTTCGACGAAGTCGTCATCTAGGCTGTACATTCGTGTATTTATATCAAATGGATGGGAAAGTTCCAGAATAATTTCCGGTTAAGGGTCAAATTAATAAAAATTACAATTAGGAATTAGAATGCCATAATAAACAGGGGGACGGATAAAACTCAAACAAAGTAGCATTATAATGACTAAGAAGATTGACATTATGCAATTGGGGGTTAGAAATGTAGCAATAACAAAATATACAGGATGTTTGGATAAAAAACTAATGTGATGAATAATTGTTTATGCAATCAGGGATTAAATATGTAGAAATAGTAAAATGATAAAATGAACAGGAAGTGTGGATATGAAAATATGGTAGTGTAGACAGGGATTAAGGAAAACTTAAAATAACATAAACAGGAAGTTTAGATAAGAAGGGCGATAGGATGGTCATTATTAAAAATTTTTCCTGTTTATGATGGCCATGGCAGGGACACGGATTGGACGTATTTCTTTTGGATACAAAGAGTCGGTTTGAGTTTTTGGATAGCTAACGCCTCAGCTATGCCCAGATGTCTTGATTTCACTCCCTTTGATAGGTTTGATTGAGTCTTGTATATTACTGTGAAGGACTTTTCGAAAGGGGCTGAATGTCCTGAGTTAACCAGATGTTCTGTCACTGAACTGTATACACGTTTTTGGTCTCCTTTTACTAGCCACGCTGGGTAGTGTTCGCGAGCCCGTTTTTCAAGTCGGCGCATGGTACGGCCGATGTGCTCAGCTCCACAAGAGCAAGTAAACTGGTATATTCACATTGAGGTGGCCCAATGCGACAGCTTGTCTTTCGCGTTCTGGCTGAACAGTTTCTTGCAGGAAAACGTCAATCGTAGGCTCACGACGAAGTATGTTCTCCTCAGCGATCTGGAGGATTTCTGCTTCAATATCACGAAGCTTTGAAAGTTGATGAATTGTTCATTCCATGTAGGCTTTTTGTATATGGACCTTTTCAAAGAGTTGTTGTCGTTTCTTGTCAGATGGACGTCCGGGAAGTGGAACATTCCGTTGGATTCAGTCTCAAGTGTAAAGTCGATGTTTGGGTGGGCGTTGTTGAAGATTTGAAGTAAGTTTTCAAGGTCCAGCTTCTCATCACAAATGATGAAAGTATCATCAATGTATCTCTTGTAGAGATGAAGGTCGTCGATAGTTGATGATAAGGGGTTGTTTTCGAGGCTGGCCATTAAACAGTCGGCTAGGAGTGGTCCGAGTGGACAGCCCATTGCTACGCCATCTGTTTACCTGTAGATTTCTAACCCCCTAATTGCATAATGTCAATCTTCTTAGTCATTATAATGCTACTTTGTTTGAGTTTTATCCGTCCCCCTGTTTATTATGGCATTCTAATTCCTAATTGTAATTTTTATTAATTTGACCCTTAACCGGAAATTATTCTGGAACTTTCCCATCCATTTGATATAAATACACGAATGTACAGCCTAGATGACGACTTCGTCGAAAAGAAAATTTTCTTCGCTGCAACTGTCTTTTTATTCCCTATGATCAAATGTATATATTCCGTGATTATATAATCTGTTTCATGCATAATAGTTTGCAATTCCTAATTTTGCACAAATACAACCCCATCAGTCAGTGCATATTATCACTGAGAATTTTACTTGTTGCTTATTTTAGGTTCCTTTCCAATTAGTTCATCGTTGAAGCATCATTTAGATAAAATATGTCCAGAAGCTCGATTTCATCCCCCAAATCCAATCAAGAAGCTGTCTGTCAGACAAGTCGAACCTACTCTAGATGAAAAGATTCAAAAGATACGTAAAAAACGGAAGATGGATCCTAATAATTCAGAAAATGTGACAGATGATGACATTGAAGTTACTTGATCAATTGACCTTATTTTTATTAAATGTATGCATGTTGTGTATTATCTGATCTACTTTTTTTGACTGATTGTGTTCTGTGAAGTTGAAATCACATTGTTGTTGTATTTCAAGTACGCCTAAGTTCCTTGTTAGTTGATTCGTATTAAGCAGTTTCAAATAGACATAAGTGTTGCCAGTTGTTTAGAGTTCATCAGAGATTCATTTTTTTCCATAGGTAATTTCAAAAGCACGTTTCCTGGTGTTTTAAGCATTGCGAACTGTGCACCCGAAACGTCTCGGCTCGTTAGGACTTTTAGCTTTAGTTCCATACATTTTGGAAGACGTTAAAACCTGCTACTTTTGGGATTTTGCCTTGCGAATCCACTTTTTCGTTTATTTTTTCCAGATAGATTACATACACATCTGTATTTATTCATTTAACGTGACATTACTTCGAAAATACCAAGTTTTGCACTTTTCAGGATAAAAGATAAATGTCAATGTGCACCATTCATTTAAGCTAAAAATGTGTGCTTGACTTAGTCTATAATATTGCAAGCGTTGAAACATCCTCATTAGGATTCTAAACTATTTCGATCTAATTTGATCCTAAAGTATTTTAATATATTATTTAGACATTGGTAAAAATCTTACCGGATAATAGTTTCATCTCAGGTTATCTACAGATAAGTGCAAAATATTTTTTATTCAAAGAAAATATTCAATGTATATGCCTAATGCTGCTACGCATTGGTAGTCCAGCAGCAGGAAGTCCTCAGCTCAGTGTTTTTTAATTCGCGGAATGTTATCGCAATCCTAAAGAAACTACTCATGCTTTGTTGAAAATGCGAATATGTATCAGTCATTTCTGAACTTTACTAAACGGTTAGTTAGACTACAACTAGACGTACAGTTGCTTCTTTTTAACTGATAATAACAGCTTCATTCTGGACGGTCTTTATTATAATGTACAGAATTTCCAGCGGAGTTTATTGCATGATAATTCCTCTTCGTACAGGATCTTCAGATAGAGTACTAATTAACATTAGATCCTATTACACAATGCTGCCGCACTTGAAGCGCAAACCAATCCCTTATGATATTTCTTCTTCGTCTCCTTAGAGAGATGCACGAAATTTGGTTGAAAGCCGGTTGTAAAAAATCCAGGAGTACATTTTGAGACCCAAGGACATAACTTGACAACAGTTATTTTATGTATTAGGATATGCTGTCAGTCACGATTATGCTTTATCTCAAGTTTATTAAAATCTAGCAAACCAGCAGTTAGTAAATGTTTTAAATACTCGCCAGTGTAAACAATGCTATTAAAGGTCATATTTTAATCAGTTAAAACAAAATGAACAAGAGAAATTATATGCAATATAATTCTATCAACTGTGTGAAGTGGTATAGTAGGGTGAGCAATATTGAGGTTAGGAGAGGAAATCAACAGACGAGACTGTGAAGTTACATCGATTAAGATGGTTAGGACATGTGTTACGTATGCCTAGCCATTGCCTTCCTCGACGGGTAATTTTAGCTGACATAACATCGATCAGGTTGGAGAAGAACCAGTGGTGGTCAGAACAAAACATGGCATCTGTCAATGAAATTCACAACAGCTAGTTTAAGCCGCGTAGGAAGATGTAGACTTCCTGGTTGGGGTTCTCGGGATGGTAAAAACCGATGAAGGCTGGAGACAATTTGTTTTTTGATTTACGGCTTGATTCCACACCGTATTTTTGAGTACAAGTATGGAATTTTCAGCACGGATATCGGTAGCCCAAATTCAGGCTGACCATAGATATCGGGTGTGCGCCGGCAGGGGTTCGAACCCCGGACCATGTGCATGGTCGGCGAGAGTCCTAACCACTGTGCCACCGACTCAAAATAATCCTCAATGGCTGGTGCAGATGCATCCACTCCTTGTGACTTATAATATCCAATACAAATCTTTTGTTCTTATTATAATAATATATATTTATTCCTATCTACTCTTCTCATATCTCCGTTTTGCATTCCTTTTTACTTTCTTCTCTTGCTTTGTGTCTTACATAAAGGGAGAGTGGCGACTGGAACCGCTGCACATCGGTGGAAAGTTATATGTTGAGACCGGCCAGTCATATGCAATATAATGACGGAGGTTTCGGCTAGCCTAAGTTTTAAGCAGGTGGCCACTACGGCCAACTAGTTTAAATCTGATCCATAGGTTTTTTGGCGGCCTACTTAAAACTTGGGCTACCGAAAACAACCTCCATCAATATATTGCATATAGTTTCTCGTATTCAGTTTGTTTAAACCCAGTAGAATATGACCTCTAATAGCATTGTTTACAGTGGCGCGAGTATTTAAAACATTTACTAGCCGCCAATTCGCAAGTTTCTACTAAACATGAGAAAAAACATTGTCCTCGATGGCAGTTTATCCCAATCATGAGATGACCATCCCTGAGTGATGTCGTTGGTTCACAGAATGTATACCTAAACGTTTTTATAATTGGCATTCAGCCAAATATGTCGTCGTGTATTTCTCAAATGAGAAATAGAAGAGATATCACAACAGTGGATTGACTTGCGCTTCAAGTCAGATAGAACTGCATCACATGATATACTGTCAATCAATCTTTTACTTGAAGATCCTGGACGAAGTGAAAATATCATGCAATAAACTCCGCTGAAAATTCTTCACATTATATAAACATTGTCCACAATGAAGCTATCACTATTATTGACTGACTGGTTTCAACGTAGAACTTAGCACCGATGTGCAGCAGTCCGAGTCACCACACTTCAACCACTATTATTATATAATTAATATTAAGTACTTTAGAAAAAGACGACTCCATAAGTTGTTATCTGCTGGTTCATTTTAGGAAGTAGTCCAACCTCACTAAGAATCAGTCGAAATATATACATAATGTGGGTGGGTGTGTGTCTTATAAAACCTGATTAACCCAATGAATTAATTTAAATGCGTGTAAGTGAATAAGCAAAATACTCAGGATGAAATTTCTATTAGCGATAAATGTGTATAACAATGGTAAGATATTTGTATGTAATCTCTTCCTTTTTTTCCAAAGTAAGAAAACGATTAGGCAATAGAAGACGACAAAAATAATCATTGTATATCACACTCACTAAGTAGTATCACATCAGAAGATGAGAAACATCTATAAAGACTTCAATTTTAAATTTTGTGATAAGACAAAAAATATTGCATGTGTTTTGTTGGCTTCTTTTATTTTGCTTGTTTGATTGAATATAAATGTTTTTAATTTTTTTCTTTCTCTAATTTTTGCGCTAATATGCAGAGAAAAAGTGGAAACGTATGAATATGAACAAAATATTAAACTTTATATACAACATATGCATAGCTTGTAGTAATAGTTTTAAGATGTTACTGAGTTAAATATCATAATCTCATGAATATATGTACACGAATTGGCATATCTGTGAATGCATATTCAAAGCCCCCCCTTCATTTGGGATGATTCACAACAGGTTTTATGATGTCACGATCACTTCTTAGCTAGAGAAAACAAAAGATAATTTGTAAGTAGTTAAGAAAATTTCTGTTTCAGTTATATAATACTCATGCTAAGCAGTGTATTATAAAATCTAAAGTGGCTTTGTGTACAATGTAGACTTATCTGAACAAAGCGTGAACCAACAAGGTTATCGAAATGACGTAATTTTAAAATGTTTCAAACAGTGAGATTGAAGGTAGTGATTATAAAATATGTTACATTGGGCATACGAACAGGCAAGTTCGTTGTTAGATTTCTGAACGCCTCCCATCTTGGTTTGACAAAGGTTTAAATAAAGCTATACGCAGTTCAATAATGGCTTATCTCGTCGATACTGGATATCAAATTGACTCTAACAAAGCTTTTAAAGTTATCTTATTTCACCCAACCTTTTGTATGCTCTACGGGTACAACAGAGGCAATCGGAATTCATCTGAACAAACCAAATCTGTGTTTTCAAAAGAAATTTGTGCAACCTCTTTCTTTGCCTTGGTCAACTAAATAATGTGTATTTAGTTTTATAAACGACTTCCTCCCCCTCCCCCCATGTAACTATCTTTTGACTTTTTTAATTTAATATGATTAAAATTCTAGCTAATTCAATTAGCTTGTGTGGATCTTGGTATTCTTACGCAATTCTACTTAATCACTGTATTCTTCTTAGTCGTCATTATTTTACAGATTTCTTGTTGGTTAACCCCTAGAAATTAACTGATCTTGAATCCCGTAATTATTTTAACTCCTTCCTTAAAAACTTAGGTATTTTGTTACTAACATCTACTAGCTAATTGTTTTGATGATTTTTAATGTCTTATTTTCATCCCTCCGCCTATATCTAAAACGGATGAACTAAAATAACCACATGATTGGTATAATTCTGATGTGAAAAATATACTAAATATTATTTCTAAATAATGATCACTCCAAGTAGGCTTTACGTTAACAGCACAATACTAATCATACGAGCAGAACTCACAGTCCGTTACTTATGAAACTATAGGAAAATTAACATTCCTGAAACCTTTGCAATTAATAGTGTTCTCTGAGCTGGTTGGTTTGGTTGCGGAGCTTTCGTCGTCCTTATGGACAATATCTTCAGCGCAATATTTAGCATAAAGTCTAAATATTGCGCTGAAGATGTTGTCCATAAGGACGACGAAAGCTCCGCAACCAAACCAACCAGCTCAGAGAACACTATTAATTGCAAATCATCCACCTGAGCTACAAATCTTCTCTATTATTCCTGAAACCTCTTATCTTAAAATGTGATACAAAATTTCGGATAAAATAGGCTGGCTATAAGAGGATCAGTATACAGTTGTAGCGTAAATAAAGTGGAACAAGGATACTGAATCTTAGATATCACAAATACGTACACCAACTAGTTAATTGAAGTATGACCGCATACAGATCACAAACTGATTAGAAATGTATCGCATGTGATCTATTCACAGAAATATCTAACGGCAAATTTATCAATGAAACTACAAATAGAGCTTACAACCTTACAAAGTTAGATTATGAGACATAGTTTCGAGGAAAACCCAATATAAAGAATTCATAAAATGCAAATAAAGTACAGAAAACTGTTCTGTTAGACTTACTCTATCCAATGACGAACGGTGATGTCGCCTACGACTTTGTTTAGTCCGATTACGCATAGAATTTGTATCATATTTATGCGATGAACTACCAGAAGCTACATTTTTATTATTATTCATGTATTGAATTTTTGCACTGGCATCGGAATGTGGTGAATCAGGTCTCCTGCTCACCTCGGATATATATGATTGACAAGTTGGAATTCTAAACGCAGAACGTGATCGTTGTCTCATTCTTCTTTCTTCAGTATTACTTGACTCTGGATAGATATCATGTCTTAATTCAGGATCTGAGGCTGTAAATGGAGAATGTCCACTATCTGTACTGCTTTCGTCATCTTCTAAATAACCATCATCTTCTAAAGACTTAAATGAAGATAAACTATAATTTATTGTTGTAGGAGCATTATTCATCTCATTGAAAGACGTAGTCACATTCATTTGTTGGATGTCATGATCAGACTTGTATCTAGGTAAAACATTACTAGATGTATGTTTCTCTAGTACTGAATTAGTGTCTACAGTAGTATAGTAACAATCACTAAAGAAACGACGTCTTTTTTTAGTATGTAATTTGAAATTATCCTTTAATAGACTTATAGGCGATTTCCTTTCAGCTTCATAGTTTGTTTTTTCATTCGGAGAAGACTTTTTCAAAATAGATCCAGGTTGGAGATAACGATCAGTGCCAGCATTTCTTGAATTGTGAGTAGATTTTGAGAATATTTTCATGTTATTTGTACCACTACTATTACAAGCAGTAACATTTGTAGAAGCAGTACAGACAGAAGTGTCAATATTACCGGCATTAGTAATTTTACTTGGGAAATCGGGTGAATTAGCGAAATCACGTACATTGATACTATCTGTTGTATAAAATTCATATGGACGTTCATCAGTACCTGGAAAATAAGCATCAGGACGTAGAATTAAGAATATATTTCACAATAGTTCATAAGAAGTGTATTTTTGACATCATTCTGAAGTTTATGGAACAAAATATTTTCAAGAATAGCCCTGACAAATGGTCTGGTATGGCCGAAGATGCATAGACTTCGGTCTACCTCTCGAAACGCTCTCATGTAGCCACGCGTTCATAACCTCTACCATGTCAATCCTATTCACTGCCTTCATGAGGCATGATGCTTCTCACAAAAGTGAAAGAGTAACTGAGAATGTCTTGGGCTTACAACCAAACTGATGGACATGTTGGTCTACCTAGGGGAGCTGGTAAACCCTGATTTTAAATCTGTGGTGTTCATGGGTTCCAGAATCCGAACGGATCAAATGGCGAATTATACTGTTTCGGTCACCGACAGCCATGGGAACACTACTCCACTGTCTCGTGGATTAGATTTCAAGCCAAAGACTCACGAGGTGGCTTCTTAAGACAGACACCTATTTCGGTCTAGGTGTCCGAGCAGTAACCCAGCCCTTGCACAAACCATGATATTTTATGTGGTGCAATCTCTTGATGCCCGTAATGTACGAAGTTTGTGTTTGAATCAATAATAATAATAATACATGGTAGGCGCAAAACTATCACGTAGCTTATAAAAATGAGACAAAATAAAAAACCTCACCTGAAGATTCTAGCGTATCATCTTCCTGCCCTTTGTTTGTTTCAGCTAAACACTCAGCAAGGTCGATAAAAGCGATTTGATCACCAAAACTCTAAAACAAAATACATTGGATTTACAAATAAACAAATCTTGTTGGAAAATAATTCAATCTACTGTGGACACCAGTTATCAAAGCATGAGTACACCTATATTACATAATGAGAATACAACACGCAAAAGTCCAACTGCTCATACTGTCTTCAGCAGCTAGACAGGAATCACTTAGGATTGCTGCAGTTTATCAGTTTCATTTTCATAGGTTTTCATATAAAAACCTTTTAAAACTATCAGAATAAGGAAAAATAAATAACCGCGAAGGAATGTAACTTTCAGGTTACAGAATAAGCTCCCTGCACATATGCCATTTTAAAAACTTGGTTAGAGCAAGAACAAACACTGGAACCAAATGGCATGGATCCATTTTATTTTTACAGTTTCAAGAGCAATTTCCAGTTAAACTCTCTACGATCTGTAGTGTGTCGTACGTCCCAATCATACTACCATGCACTTTTCAGGCCAACAGCCGACTAGTAACTTTCTTGGCTTGTGGAGTACTATGATTTAGCCTAAATGAAGTTTCCTTCGCTGTATACTGATTAGTAATGGCTTAAAAAGTAATCAACACTGTAGTACGAATGACATATTCTCTGTGCACCTGTATAAATGATTATCAAATGATACCTGTTCATCTGATAAAAATGTGTGTATGTATATTTTTATTCCCTTTGGTTCCGAATGGAATAAAGGGCTTCAACAGCACATCTCCATTTCAGCCTGCTCTCTGCAGCCCTCTTTAGCTGGTTCCACAATTGCCCATAAGCTCTCATCTCCTGACACGATATCCTCCGTATCACCTTCAGACGCCCAACTTATCCTTTCCTATTCAGATTCCACTCGAGGGTCTGGTGCAAGATGTCACCCAATGGTTTCCTCAGCGTGTGTCCGAGCCACCTCCATTTTCTTCAGTATATTTGTTGAGCAGTAGATTCTTGGTTGGTTCGTTCCCAGAGTTTCTTGTTACTGATTCTCTCTGGCCATCTGGTTTTTAGCATGCAGCGAAGGCAGCTGATGATGAAAGTCTCGGACGCCCAGCTTGTTTTTTCCTACTCGGGTTTGGCGCGCAACATCAATATTTCCTTTGACATATCTGTCGGGCCTTAGTTTTAAAGTTTTGTAATTTACCTGACTATTCTAAATTCACTGATAAGGAAAATATGCTTGTAGCTTAACAGAGTCTATTGTTACTCGTGAGAAGGAGACACACTTCAAGCTTAGTTTGATTTCAATAGGAAAATAGTATATGTGTGATTTAATCACATCGTATAGACAGCATTAATTAATTCGGAAATATCATGTGTGTGCACAGAAAAATCACGTTTGTCACACCAATCATTAAATCAATTCGAATACACAAAACTTTAGTGTGATGTACCCCTTGTCATATGACATATATAAAATCGAGGATGAATAAACTACACATAAAAAATAGAGAAATAAAGTGAAACAGAGTTTTCCAATTAACCTGAGTTAACCAGTTATTACTGGCAGTTGAAATAGTACATTCAGGTGATTGAAACGGAGATAAATGCGTAGACTGAGATTCAGTTCCAAGGGTAGTTACTCCACCTGGAGAAGAAATATGTGGTTTTACTCCAGGTATAAGAGTTTGTAAACGACCTTCTTCATGCCAGGTATTAAGTAGACGCTTAATATAGTCATAACCTACATTCTGAAAAAAAGGTAAAGCATATAATTAAAATAAGTAAAAATAATTCAAAAACTAGCATTATTCTTTCTTAAAACAGTTTTATTTGAATGAGAAGTCAAGTGCAATAATGCATACAACTAAATTTGGTTATCAAAAGGTAGGTGTTCTGTGAGTAGATCAACAACCATGAATGGTATACATTATCGAGTTAAGAAGAGATTTCCGAAGTGTCTGAAAGACCTAATATTCTATCAACATCTTCGTCCAACAGGATTATGCCACTAACATTATCGAGTTAAGAAGAGATTTCCGAAGTGTCTGAAAGACCTAATATTCTATCAACATCTTCGTCCAACAGGATTATGCCACCTGCTTACTGTAAGTCAACTACAGAGCTTCAACGGGAACACCGTCACTGACTGAGTGGCAATGCGGGTTCATCTAGCTGAAGAGTCCCGCATAGAATGAAATACACATATCTTAGATTTCACTGCTAGTCACTGTCAACCAAAATAACAAGAGATATTGACTTCCGTTCACTTAATCTGATATTATTTATCTAATAATAACACAAAAGGTTCTATTTAGTTTATTTAACTAATTTATTATAAATCTGAGGAAGTGTTCTTATTTACTAGTCTCAGATATTGGAGAAAATATCAACTCAGTTACTCATTACTGACAGCGAATTTCTGAAATGGAATCTTGGCTGATTGACAAAGGCATCTAACTTTAAACCGGTGGACGACAGATCCTAAACTGACTCAAATGTTCTAGATTAAAGTACTCGTATAGTGTAACTAGCTTCAATAAAAAAAAAGTTCAGTTAAACGCGAAATGCATCCATCCTACAAGTGAGATATATGCATTACTCAAAAAAATAGAATGACTATGGGCTTTGACAAATTGAAATGAATACAAGCCAATCATCTATTTTGTAATTGAACGCAATATGAATTATTCTTCTGGTGAGCATTTCTTAAGTCCACCTTCCCATTTGATTTCAGGCTTTTCAATTTTCTATTATTTATTGCATGTATATTAAGTATTATTGACTATTAATTACATAAGGGATTATTTTCAAACCGTTAAAATCTTTTGCACAATAAAACTATACGGTAGGAATTAGCTTTTGTAAACTCAGTTCTGTTCAATGATGAAGTTATCATAGTCATACTAAATTGAAAAAAAGAATGAATGACACAGGGAGGAGATATTTGAAACTTGATATCATTATAACTCTTCTTTTCAAACAATAAGTAGGCAAGATTCCAACCTTAAGAAGATTCGTTTGTATTTTGTGTCCGTGAAGAAAACCGAAGAGTGATTAATGTGAGGTACAACTTAAAGATTCTAAATTATTGAATGAAGTCGTAGATTTAACCAGTTTGATACGTGATCATCTTAGTAGGAAAATAACATTGAGAAGTGTTAGAATTCGACACTGAGCATATCTGCAGTTGATTAGTAGACTATATAACAGTACTAATTCGTCAGACTGATTGTTGAAACGGAAAGGCGTATCTGACCAGCCTAGTGGCCAAGTTACGCCATTCAGTTACTACTGGTTAAATGGTTATAATACATTTTTTCCTACTTTTACTTACACCTTGTCTGTAAATAAAGGTAGCAGATCTGGAGTTTTAGAGATTTCTTCTCTAGTCAGGATTTCAGGATATGACTACGAGTATATATAAAGTAGCAGAGAGCCAACCCAGCCAAATGACTTAAAATACAAAACTTGGAATAGTAAAACAGAAAGGCTATGAAATTTTAAAGCTATCTACTTTATGTACACGAATTCCTAAAAGTACTTACAAGAAATCACCTTTTCAACTGACTTGTCTGTTTTGCCTAAACCTCTGTGTGGTGGTGGATCCTTTAAATGTGGGAGAAGTTAAGGAAGCAGAGACGGTCACAACTGGTTGGAGGCTTTATAAATCTTTCAAGTTTAGTGTGCAGCTATTCATCAGTACGACTGAAAACACTGCAAATCACTATACGATGCACTTAATAGAGAATCGGATACTACATTAGCGCTATAAACGACAAAATTCAGCGACACTTTGAAAAACCTTTTGATACTCCATGCTGAGATTTCATCAACCACTAAGTCACCGTAGGTTGATGCTCTTTTCCGGATCAGAAAATATATCTGTAGAGTCTAATCAATTTATTTCTTTTCAGGCAGACCAGTGTTGAAGCGGCATTTTACGTTTATGAAATAAGAAAAGTATTTCGAAATTCCCGAAATTATTACCCGGTGGCCGTAAAGGCCAGGCATTATATCAACATCTTCGTCCAACAAGGCTATGCTGCTGGCATACTCTGTGTCAATCATAGAAACTCTTGTAAAGAAATCCATACTTAAGATATGTCAGATGACGAGATAGAGACCTGCATAAACACGTTATAAAGTTGAGTAGAAGTAGGAAGAGAGAGAGAGAAAAGACATCATTCATAGAACCAAACAATGTAGGTATTTCACGCTAGTGCACATACACACACACACCATGTGGTGAAAAACAAATGCATAAATTACTATATTTAGAGGAATTTAAGCTGAAAAATATGGAGTATATATATGATTGTTAAGTACACGGGCACTTGAGTTTACTTTAAATAAAAGATACACCTCAAAATCGCTATGCTTTGCGGTCTTCTTCACCCATAACTTAAGTACAAGATTACTAACTTACATTTATCTCATCGAAAGCAGAAAATTGAAGAGTTAAGTATTTATCAATTGGAGGTCGAAGATAATGACATATACCACTAGCTTTAACATACTCCAACTGTCGTACACACGAAATATAGGCAAGGCGTGCTTGAATCTCTGTGAGGCTTGGTATCTGTATTGGAAAAACAAAAAGAAAGTACAAAAGTGTGTGATACGAGAATTCATTCAACATCTTGATTAGTTTATAATAATGAAATGTGTTGTTCCTACTACAATGTGTGAAACATTAACTAACATATGATGACATATTGAAAATACAACAACTAAAAAAACAAAGATGATACCTAAGAGGTTACTACTATCCACCTGGTTTTTACATCTGTAATTCTTTCATCTATCTTTATTTTCAACCATTAGAAGATACACAACAAATGAAGACATTAGAAAAACATAAACTGAATTCTCATGTGAATGATCAAAATAAGGCCTAAAAAGAAAACAACATTTTTAAGAAGTTAGAAAAATGTAGAGTCATGATTACTTTGCCTGCCTGATACATTAGGACTTTATGCATACAAATAGGAAAGTTTCAAGGGAAAATGTGTTAGCTAGTAGTACTGGATCTATTCCTGGAAGAGGTAATGAAATCAAATAAAACTATTTGATATTTAAGCGTATTGACAAAACTTATTCTCTTTGGAGTGTAGAGAAAAAGAAATTTTTTGAACAATAACATGATAAAACACAATCTATACATTTTGTGCGTTTCTACGTAAAATTCAATAGGCTGAAGTATATTGGAAGAATAGGAGGAAATTCCGGGAAATCTGCGACTTACAGAGCCAAGTTTCTTACTACAGAGAAATCGTTCAGTATCTAATCGAGACGGGAGACAAAGTGGATAATTCAACTGTCAACAAGTAAGAGTTTGCCAGATTTACTGCCATCAAGTAATTTAAATCTAACTTGTGTATACAGAACCAAACCGTGCTTAATTTCATTTAACTTAGTAACATTTCTTTTCAGTTATTACGTAACTATGTATTATACTTCCTGCTGTTATTATTTTGATCTACTGAGCTCATCTAATTTAATTGATTTTATATCACTTCTGAATGCTTTTTTGTATATTATTTTGTAAGTTTCTGCCCGTATGTAGCTGGCTAGCAACATAGTTAGTTAGTTTTCTCGTTAGCCATTTACCAAAACTTCTTGATTCTTCTTCCAAACTCGCTATAAATAACCAGTTTATTTACGTGTCAATTGTAGTGACTGTTCCATCGGACTGCACTCATTGCTGTATTCCTTAAACTAGGATCTTCATGATTAACTTCTACTCAGTAAAATGAAAAAAGTATGTTCTTACTGCATTTATCCTATGTATATTTTAGGCTCGCCGCAGATGAAGATAAGCCTCCAAATAAAGAGTGCACATTTTATACTACAAATCTTGTTCTTCGTGCTTTGACAAACTACCTAATTTCGCCCCTTCTATGTGCATCTATCAATTTGTCTGCTCCTGTGGAACCATTTACATAGGTCGTTGGATTTCCGAACACCATCCTGTGTGGCCAAGTAAGGTACAAACAAAGTTCATGCATAGTTCTATACTGTCTCATCTCGTAGATACAGAACACAAAATTGGTGTAATCAAGGCCTCCGAAATCATCTACCCTATATCAACTAAACTTAATTTTACCTCAAGAATTAGGCTCTTACATATTGCTGAGGCTGTCGGAATCTACGTTAAGAAGCCTAATCTATGCATCCAAAAGAAATTGGTTCAGACGCTTTCCTTAACCTCTTGGCCATCATGGTCTCAATGATCCTTAATTTTTTGTAGAGATTTCCTTAATTTTATTTGATATTCCATATACTGTTACATTTCATCAGCTGCCTTCGCTGCATACTGAAGACCAGATGGCCACAGAGAATCAGTAACAAGTAACTCTGGGAACGAACCAACCAAGAACCTATCGTTCAACAAATATACCGAAGAAAATGTAGATGGATCGGACACACGCTCAGGGGACCGATGGGTGACATCTTGCACCAGACCCTCGAGTGGAATCGGAGTGGGAAACGACAAGTTAGGCGTCCGAGGGTGATACGGAGGATATCGTGTCAGGAGGAGATGATAGCTTATGGGCAATTGTGGAGTCAGCTGAAGAGGACTACAGAGAGCAGGTTGAAATGGAGATGTGCTGTTTTAGCCCTATGTTCCATTCGGAACCCAAGGGAATAATAATATATAAAGAAAGGCAGATAAGCTTTTAGTCGACTTGAAATCATTTTCAAGTCCTAAACAACAAAAGTAAGTACAGCGACATATTTCCCACATACGTTCTGTTGAACTGAGTTATGAGGCACATTGAATAAGTAGAGGCGAATGAAACTACCCCGTTGCATAATCTGATTTAACTTGATAAACACCTAATAACCAATGTGTCAAATGAATAATATATCACAGTGTTATACATTGAAATGCGACTTCTAGTTTACTATGCAAGCTTATAGGTTGATTGGATAAGAAATTTAAATTACAGACTATGGTTGGATGGCATTATTAATTAGACAACACTAAACTTTCTACTTATTTGTTACATTCTTCTACAGACATTACACATAATACTGCTTAGATTTATGCATCATATTCCTTAGTGTCTACCTCAAAACAGAAATAGCATCAAGATGAGTTCAATAGGTCAACTGTCAACGTCTACTTTATTTGAATCTTACTGTTTTACAATGATAAGATAAAATAATTACCGCATAGATTGTTCTCTAGCTAGTTTTAATCATAAGAGATACTCCAACATGTTATTCTTGTAGTATGAACTATGTTGAACTTATTAATTTACGGATTTATTCACTGAAAGAAGGAAATCATGCAGTCATTTGAGTACACTATCATACATTTATTCCCGTTTATGAATTTGCATAAAGGAAGAACAACAGTGGTTTGTGCAGAATAATATGGTACCATCATTTATTTCGTTGGCTTCTCATCAGCTCACCTGCGTACAGCCTAAATAAATTATTAACTTTATGTACAGAGACAACTTTAACATACTTGCAAATTTTACATGATGTCAGTTAACAGGAGGTTCTGGACTTAGTGAACAGTGCTCAGAAAATTACGCTTATATAGTTTTTGCACAGGGAGTTCAAGTTTAAACGATGTAAATGTATGCATACAATGGTAAAGGAGTTACGTAGTAAGGACGAGAGATGCGTAAGATAATGAGTGACTTATAAATTAGGTAACAGTATACTGAATGCAACTCAAATCATAGAAAAAAGAGACAAGTGAAATTACACTATATCATGGGGAGGTGAGATTAAAGCCAAAGATTACGTAATCAAATGAAAGAGAGAATAAAGACATCCAGTTACTAGGGCAAGGAAAGACTGATAACTGCTTATTTCTGAACACATACATCGGGTTTCAGGCATTTCATAGAGACTGCTTCGGCAAACTTGAGGACAATTAAGTAAACTATCTTTTGCAGAGATTATTTTATCACAAACTAATATACAGTCTTGTAATTAACCAATCCACTCCTAGAAATCGGTTACTTGGATGACACAATATAATACGTATGCTTGCTTTCAAATAATAAAGTGCACAAGGTGAAGTGAAGTAGAGACCAGTGACAGATCACTGTAATAAAGAGTTTCTTTTTAGTTTTATGAATGATGCGCAGTGTGAAGAGAACAATTTTGCATGATAGATCAATTAAACTTGCGGATGAATATATGTACTCGAAACAGTCAACCAGAACAAGAAGAAATCCAAGTTAAGAGAAAAACAAGAGTTTTAAGATTCTGATGTCGATGATGTAGTTGTGTTCTCTGAGCTGGGTAGTTTTATTGGGAAGCCTCAGTATCTTTCTGGACAATATCTTCAGTGCAAGCTTCACTCTGAAGTAAACTTATTTAAATTATCCACGAATGATGTAATTATATCGCCGTGACAACCTTTGCCGTGATGCAAACTAACAACCAATCACAACAAAGGTTGCCACGGGATACAATTATATCATTGGTGGAGAATTCAAATAATTTTCTCTCATATTACAACTTACGCTGAAGATGTTGTCTAGATGGACAACGAGAGTTTCCTAATTACATCACTCAGCTCAGAGGACGCAATCACATTAAAATAATAATCCAATTGAGCTACAAACCTTTTCCAGTATTATTTGAGTTTTAAGATATACACAACAGCATACATAAATTATTCCTAATAACAATAACGCTATTATCAAACTTAGAAAATTAATTACTAAAGAAAATCAATTTTAAACTAAGAAGAAAGTGCATAGAAGTAGAAGAGAATACAGAATAATTGTGTAAGTGTATTGACACATTCAATTATAGCCACTTTAAAAGAAAAAGAAAGATAAATATCTCATATAACTGGAAACAAATTAAACCATGTGTTAATATTTAATAGCACGTGTAATTCATACACATTCATGCTATCCAAGAGGAGTTTTTACACACACAAAAAATATATATATAACGTATGATGTAGCATTATAATGATGGCAATTTGACATACACATCAGTTTATATGCAAATTTTACTTATCTTGACGAGCAGTTTATAATGGCATCACGTGATTCAGTTATCAAGATGCATAGATAGATAGATACTATGAAGTATAAGAATCGATGAGCAGTTAATGATTGTAGACTGAAATTTGTCTTGATATTTGTGGAATTAGACTATTCTTGTTTCAAATTGATAAGATATTAAAAGTCTCTTACACGCTTGGATTTCATAAAACAATCACTTTATCAGAGGTTTTTTGTTTGAACTAAGTTACCAGTGTGGTGAGAGCTGGCTGCTAGCCAAATTGATAGACAGTAATTTACGTCAATGTTTATGTCCCAAATATTGGTCATGTGAAAACAAGAACAAAGACTGACTCAACAACTAATCACAGCAGACTTTGCGTAGGCGGATACAATTAGCAGAGAGATGATCTGACATTCAAGAAACAGCCACAAAGAGATGAAAGATTAACTTTCAGTGAGAAACAACCAATCAGAAGACTGTTTTTCAGCTAACAATATACAATAATGTACATGAAAATTTATAAATATGTGTTGATTTCCTTAATAAACGATCTGTTGCCTGGCCCTTGTCTTCTGCCGTTGCACC